TCATATTCAGCAAGACCGTTGCCGTCGTAGACCAATAAAGTTACGTACTCTATAAGCTTGTTTACTACAAGACCGTATTTGTGTGTAAATATACGGACAAATAGCTGATAGAAATCGGTACCCTTTAAATATCAGTATGGCTACTGTATGAAAACATAGGAAACGCTGTTTGCTGCTGCGTACACAAAAGCGGATTTGCAATGAGATTTTTGCGCCTTATTCGTGTAAAATTTGAAATAAAAGTTTGCCGCTTCACAAGCCTAGTCAGAGAATCGCGTCAGAGTATAAAAAACACACACTGAAGCAAAATTGCATGAGCTGTCTGCAGAAATTAGAAACAAAAGCAAACAGTGCTATGTCTGAAACGGTTACTATCACTGTCACAGGGTGATCAATTAACGACAGTCTCAAAAATGACACGAGAGGAATATCCACCATCACGGTTGCAATATTTACAAGCTTTCCGAAATTATAAGTCTTAAGATTAATCAAATAGCAAAGACCGAAGCTATATTTGATACCAGATTCTTCCTCGCTGTAAATCACACAAGCTTTCCTGCAAAATAATTTGCCATGCTTAATGACCAGAGAAAGCCCCTAGCCCCAAGGCATTGAGACAAGAATGGGACAGCTCGCTTAGGCAGAAGATATACTTCATACTCTTGAAAAACGATACAGGCATGTTATTATGGTTAAAACTTTGAAGTATGTCGTTATTTACAGCAAACTGAGATTTTAGAGAATACGATGGTGTTTCATTTTTTAACGCATAACAACATTACTGTACACTTGTAAGCGGTACATGGTTTAGGGTGCCAAACCTCAACAAAATAAAATAAGACTAGATTAATGGCGCAGCAATACAATAGGCGTAAAACAAGCTCACGTGCTTCAGAGTCGACTGTAGTGACGGAAAACGGTAGGTGATCGACAGTGAACCGATTTAGCCAGCGGCGTTCTGCCTGAGCTGTCTTGAATTGTTGTGATTAAGGCAGAACAGAGTCTCAACACGAAGCTACCTGTGTCTAAACAGTTTTTCGTCCACATGGTCATGATCGATGATTCAAAACTGTAATCCCAAAAAAGTAGCGGCTAAAGTATGATTCATCAGAGGAATCGCTTGGCTAACATATCCTTACATTCCCCGGAGTTCATGTATCTGAGAGAGAGAGTCTTGATGCACAACCGCCAATTGTCCAGACAAAGAAGTTGCAGTTGCTACCTTGGAACAGTCAAGAATGACCTGGGGCAAGAGTCTTTACCCTACTCAAGAATCAGACTTATTCTGACGAAGCTGAAACGCTCTCAGAGCGTCTATGACGTTGGAAACACTGTCTCGCGCGTCTGCCTCCGTAACAGAAAACGATACGTGGTAATCGAAAGCAACTGATCGAGAAACAGTTTTTCGAGTCGCATGGATATGCGTGTCAACGAATGAACCAACCAACCGACGATCGAACAAACGAACGGATAACCGCAAGAAGCAACTACCAATTAGCGTACGAACAAATAAAATAAATAAAAAATCAAATGAAGCGAATCAAGTAACGGACCAAACAACGAAAGGAGAAACGAACGAACATACAAACGAAAGAACTGACTATCACATCAAAGAACGAACGACGCCAAATTAACGAAAAGGCCAGTGAACGAATCGATGACCCGGCCAACTAAGGGACCAATAAACGAAATCAGGAACGAATGAATAAACAAGCAGAACAACAAATTAAATAACAAAGTAATGAGCGAAACAACGAAGGAAATAAATAAATGAATCAATCAACAGATCATGGAACAGATTAGCGCATCACCTAACGCAGCAACAAAAGACCAACGAAAGAACTAATGAACGAACAACGAAATGAGAATCAATGAGCAAACTTATCACCGAATCAGCGGCTGATTGAACCAGCAAGGATACCAACAGAGAAACACCAATCAAATCAATGAGTGAACGAACGAACGAAACAATGAGGGAACAAACGAACGAACGAATTCGCTGACCAAAAAACGATTTAACCAAAGACAAGTGAAGGAATAAATGAATAGACCAACGACGGAACCAAGCAACAGTAAAGGAGCATCGAGCGAGCAAATAATTATTTTATGATGTACCAACTATATAATGAAACAGCTTGCTAAGCAAAGAACAAACCAATGAAAAAATTTATGAACGATTCAACAAATGGTCTAATGAAGTAACAGAAGAAGGAACAGAGAAAACAGACGATGAGCGAACGAACTATGGCACTAGCAGTTTGACGAACGAAACAACGTGGGAACCAACGATCGAACCAACGAAACAAGTGACGGACAAACGAACGAACTAGGGAACCAATGAATGGCCCAATGAGCGAATCGACTACCCACTAACAATGAAAAGAACAAGCAACGGTCGAACATACCAAACAGCGAATGAACCAGCAAGAGACCTATCAAACTAATGGACGAACCGATGAACTGACAAGCGAGGAAACAACGAAACCGCGGAATGAACAGGCGAACAAACGAATGGACCAATGAACCAGTCAACCAGCAGACTAGTGAACCAACCAGCGACAGAGTTAGCATCAGCCAACGAACAAACGAACCAACAATGGAAGAACAGGCGAAGCAACTCTCAGACAAAAGAACGAACCAACCATAGGACCACCAATGACTGAACGAACGATCTAAAGGACCAACGAAAGCAGCAACTACCGAGCGAAGAAACGGTCAAATCAACCAGCGAATGAATGAACGCTCTAGCGCACCGACGAGGAAACCGATGAACAAAGAAAAACACCGCTGACCGAGCGAGCAAGC